ATAGGTATATAAATCTTCATTTAGGAACACAATTTCTTACCTTTACTTTGTTCAGCTGTTTGCATGTATTAAGTCATTAGCATACAGACAAAAGTAGTTGGGAGAGGAAGATGGATCTGGCAGGAATAGAATTTAACTGCCTGCAATGTAGCTCTTGCTGTTCTTCTGAGACTTAAGTTTGGCTGGCTGCTGCCAAGTCTGCACCTGCATAATGTTTGATTGTAACTCTGCGTGTATTCCTCTTAATAAGAACAAATAAATAATATCTTCTCTTATTTACCAAACAACCAAACATGAGGATTACTTCAAAGTCATAAGTGGCAATCCCTCTTCTGTTCTAATGCATCATTTCTACCTGATGCACAGAGGATGCTCAGGCTTCATTCCTCAGCAGAAATGTCATCTATACCTCTGTGTTCTACCTTGGGTTTAACTTGCTATTTAGAACCCCTACTCAAAATGCATATCTGGTATTTTGATTATGGATTGTCACATAAACAGAATGATTGATTAAAGTGATTTACATAGAAGTGTTCGTGGGGTTTCTGAGCAAGGGAAAATATACAGAAGCACATGGCACTTAATTACTTTGCTTAACAATAAATGTCAAGTTAAACCTTTTTAAAAAAAGATGAATGCTGTGCTTAAGGAAAACGCAATTACATTTCTATGCCTTGAAATGTTTTACACACTGTATACATTAGAGGGGCAAAGACATTAACACCTCTGTACATGCAAAGGTGCTGACAGATTTCAGATGCTACAAGGCAGGCTTTTGTAGCCCTGTCTGCCTATTGCTTGCAAAGGGAACTCGTTTGCTGTAATGTGCTGTTAATCTGAGCTCATTTTCCTGTGTGAAACCACATTTGCATACACACAGCCTTCTTGGAAGTCATTGAGAACATGAGGGGAGTGGTCCAGATTTGGTAAATTATTGCATATAAATAGGATTTGCATTCCAATGAGTGTTTTATGTCACAGCCTGATTATGTGGTCCATTTTAATAATGTTGAATTAATGGAAAAAGTAGATTTCAAAAAGCCACTCCTGATTTTATGTTCTAGTTCTAAATCTAATTTAAAATGTCTTTCCCCTCTTTCTTTCTACTATGCTGCAGTTTAGTAACAGACCTGGAATTTCTTCTTCTGTTAAAAAAAGTGTACACTTCTGTAACAAATTGTCCAAATTTCAATTCAAATTCAATAATGTGTTTAATAAAAGATTTTCATACTGCTGTATTCCTGTGGGAGGGTGATGGTGGAACAACTGAATGACAGCCAATCCTTGCAGAATAAAAGCAAATAAAAGGTAGTCCACAGTGAGAAATGGGGACATACGTGCAGCATTTCTCAGCCCAAGTCTGAGTAAATCTATATGTCTAGACACTACTGCTCACTACTAGGCAAATAGACTAGCTCAGGTCTTTCCAGAAATTTTGCCTATTATCATTTTGGTGCAGCTCTCCCTTCTTGCCCCGAATTACAAATGAAAAAGAGGAAAATGAAATTTTGAGGATAATTACTTGACTGCATTCAAAATGAAAAACAAGGTTAGTTTTGATTGGGGGTGGTTTTCCAATCTAGTTTGCCACCTGACTTTCACCAGTTCAGCACCACCAGCAGTGGCATGGCTCAGAGAGGTTTGGGGAGGGTAGTTCTTACATATTCAATACTTAGGGACCTCGGCATCTTTACTGTGGGTTTTTTTTCGGAATTTGTGGGGCAAAATCCTGTCTTCCTCCTACTCTACACAGTGGCAAGGTGTCCTTTCCACTCCTGCTGGAATGGTGTAGCTTCTCTGTTTTTCTGAGCTCAAATTTGTAACTATTAAAACAGAGTACACTTAATTTGATAGGCAGCTCATTTCTTTTCCAATCCATGAATTTGAAGAAAATACATGAAATAAAATGTTTACACTGCCATAAATTAAATGAAGCATTATAATTTAATTGCACTATGTGTTAACAGAGTATTTTTCCTGTTGCCTAGCAATGAGATATACCATGAGATTCACCATTTTATTAACTTCAGTTTTCAAAGGCTTATAACTTTAAAAAATCATTTGTAGGACAATCCAGTAAGTGTATGTTGGATATTATGGGATCCCTTATTAAGGAAGTTGGAAGCAGAAAGCTCTGGTGCCTTTTGACTTCTGTACCCTTTCTCCCCTACTACAATGTGGGGGAAATTTTGAAAGTAAGTTCTTGAGCAAAACTTTGTGTATCCCCACAAGTCTGAATGTCTAGGAAAGGCTTTGAGCTGCTGGTGTTTGCTGTCACCTCCAGTGTTGTTGCACAACTGTAATGCTTGGTATTGGATGGGCACATGGAACTTGATGAAGAGATGAGTGCTTGAAGAGGTTGGAGGAGGAGCAAAACATTTGGTAAGACTGAAAAGAAAACCTCTAGGTCAAGCCCAGAAAGTCACTTTTTTCACAGGAGAAGCTAGCTTAAAGTTAGGGCCTGCAAGTATATGCAAAACCAGACAGCTTTTAGCTTGAGGAGAAAATATTTTTCATTGTAGTTAGCTCTGATAAGGGTGGGATTTAGATTGTTTTGTATTACTCCAGAAGGCACTGCTGTACCTAAAAGGACTTGAACGTGAGCTCCTGGAGAAAATGGCTGAAAATTACTAAATATTCAAGGTTTTTTTCCAAGAATATTTCCAAGAACCAAGTGCTTTTGGCAAACAAAGTTATTAGAAGCTGTGTTAGAATGATAGTAGTGCTTTGCCATTCATAGATGTGTTTCCAGACTGCATCTTGCTGCAAGGTAGAAAGCTAAAAACCAATTTATTGATTGTATTTTGTAGAAGCAATTAAGGAAGGAGAATATGAATACTGAAATTTTATTATATGTTGTATATACATATGGACTGAACAAAAGATGCCAGAATCAGGCTTCATGAATATGTGTGTGCGGGGAGGTATTTTGAATTAATCCATTAATCCATTTTAAAACTAAAACTGCCTATACCTACCTAGCATTTCAAAATGGTTCTGATTATTATGAAAGATCTGTTTTTTGCATATTGAGATTTATGCATATTACTTACAGAAGGTCTGTGTATTTATATGCAAATACTCAAGGAATATGGCTTTATTAATGTTGTAAACTACTACATCTATATAATTTCAAATTTTCACCTTTATAATGGTTGATTTTTAATTAAGAAACATAGAAATCTGAAGTTTATGCCTTCATGTGAGCAAGGTACATTTTACTGGACAAGGAGGTTTTTATCGGCACTGGCATTTATCTGGTGAATAACTAAACAAAATTAGTTAAGAAAATCAAAATGAAAACCAGCCTTTTTTTTTTTTTTTCCAGATAAAACAGCTTCTCTACCCATGACTGTTTCAGTATGTGTATTTTTGCACATATATGTAGTTTTTCTTTGGGGTTATGTGGTCTCAATATGATTATGAATGGTAATTGATTCTAGAAGTCTGCTAGATGTATGCCATTTTTTGACAAAATGTAGATATTATAAATGACATAGATCAATACTAAATGTGAAAAAATGCAGCATTTGTTGTGCTTAACAGAAGTGGCATTTCCTATTTAGCTAGACTGTCTTAGGCATGGTTTAGTGTTCCCATAGCCTTTATGTAGAAAATATGAGAAGGGAGGTGTGTCTGAGAGTCCCTAATTTAGACACCTAAAGTTAAAATTCTCAGCGAACCTTTTCCATCCCTGTTCTCTCACAAGTGCTCTGAAGTATTCCTTTTTCCTTAGTCTGCCTTAAAAAATTCAGTTTCTCACTGGAGTGCTTAATGGTTAGTGATCTGGATTTCACATAGGATGTGCTTCCCTAGAATATCATCATCCATACAAGAACTGAATGAAAATGAATGAGTGTTGCCCTGACAGGGTCTAATATTCCATGCAATAACTAGGGGACTGGCAAAGTGTGGATTATTTTTTGCTGTTAAAATAACACTTGAGGAAATGTGTAAAATACAATGCTCTAGTTTGGCATTTTCCTGTTTTAAAGCAGCTCATACAGTTGTATCTTGTATATGTTTTATGAATCAGAAACATAGCATATAACTCCATTATATCTGTCTGGAAACGTTTATCTAGAGAACTCCATTTTATATACTACTCTATATATATACTATATATATATACGCACATTATATCCTTCATTTCATAGAGTAGCCTTAGGATAATTTCTGTTCTCAGTATGAGAACATTTCTCTTGCTGCACCATGCTATAGGGAGAGTTTTTTGGCTCTCCTGGAAAACCTGTCCTAGTAAAAAAATGTAAGTAATCACAGCATTCTCATAAAGGAGTCTAGTACCTTTAATAGGTGCTCTCATTTGATATCTAGCAGCAATTAAACTTTTTAAATTTTGGAATGCTAAGAATGTTGTCACTCTGTATAATTATAGTGGTGATTTTAATTTAAAAAATTTGGAGTGTTCTGCTTCTTTATTTTTCTTTTCTCCCAACACCTATTTATCATAGGAAAAAAAATCCAGTACTGATAGCTCTACTTTCATAACAACAAAACAGGAAAAAAAAAAGGCTGAATATGTATGTAGTAAATAAACGATGTAGTTTCAACAAGTGATAAGAAGGAAGGAAAGTAGTCTTAAATTAATGGAAATAACTCCTAAGTGGTATTTATTGCACAAACCCCTTGTTTTTAGCCTGAGTTTCACCTGACATTTGCTTCTAACCCATGATTAAGCAGCTTAAAGTAAACATATTAAGTTATAGCTAACTTTTTTTTGGCAAATAATTAAATAATAATTATGCCAATGAAGTTAATGATAAAGTTGCAGTTGTAGTTTTGAGTGATCAGCAAAATCAGGAAAATAATGTCTTGATCCCGTGCTGAAAGTGTGACTAAGAGGGTATCTCATTATTATTTTTCTAGAGGTCTTTGGTTCAGTTATTTCCATTACAAGAAACAAGGACTTCACTAAAACACAAAGTCCCCTAAATAAAAACACTTAAATCTCCACATATGTTTATATTGTTGTCTTCTAGGTTGACTGGGGCCAACTGGACTATTTAGTGATTGACATGCCACCTGGGACTGGAGACGTACAGCTGTCAGTATCACAGAATATTCCAATTGCAGGTATGTATATTGCTTGACTGTTTCGGAGATTTTCAGTAGCTTTAGAAAAATTTTATTTTAAAACACCAGTCAGAAATTACTTTTATTTTCCTTTCCAGCATACTGAGGAATTGTTTTATCAGTTGTGTGGTGTTGGAAACATTATCAAGATTTTTAACATGTTGACATTAGTTATGTTACTTTCTTTTACGCTAAGTTTTGAAAAGATGGAGAAGTCAGCTGTAACTCTTGAAGGAAAGACAGCCTTGCCAAAACCTGCTAAGTTTTGTAGTAGAAAATTTCCTTCTCTGTACCTACTACATGGTAAAGATAATGAAATAAGAGTGATTCATACCCATTTTCTTAGATACAGTACTAGTAGGTTGCTTGTGTCAGTAGCAAAGTGGGAAGGTCTCTAACTGCCAGAGTTTTAAACAAAGAGGTGAAACGTGACTGTAGCACAGAAGTTTTTGGAAAGGTAGAATTTCATTGAATAATGTACATAAGGGGAGTAAAATTATGCAGTTAGAGTTGTGGCTTTATTAGGAGCTTTTTAAAGTACGATGGCTGTTAATAATCTCTTTTCTACAGTGTACTTAAATGTCTTGATTTAACATAGAAATGGTAACTAGATTCTTGATTTTTCAAGAGATTATTGTGCCCTTTCCCCACAGAACTCTGCACTGCTTTCAGGAATGTGAGTGGTTATGGTAGTGCACAGGATCCTCTGGGACAGAGAGGTGATGGAAATTACTTTAATCCTGTATGTCTTCTACATTTTGCTGATGTCTGCTTTTATTTGAATTCTAAAATGGCTTTACTTTGTTCTTGTAGTTGTTTGGTTCAGCTTATTTTTTAATTAATCCTAGCTTCATAAAATCAGGAATGATAGCATCACTTTACATTTGTATTTCCCATTAGTTGGTTTTATTGACCATGCTGAAGTTGACTCCTGCAGTTTAAAAAAAGTAATGCATCAAGATGAAGGCAAACACAACAAAGAGTGATAAGAGATGCAATTCCCTGTGTTCTTACTGACTTGATGAATTTGTGATTTAGGAAGAGTTTTCTCTCTTGCTTATTGTTGCTATTTTTCATCTGCACTGTAAAGATGTATTTTTGTGTGTTGCAGCTTGAACAACTTCTTTATTCTTCTTTCTTCTTTCTTGTTTTGCTTGTTACTTGCTTTCTGTCTCTTAAAGAATCCATGCCTTGTTTAGCATGGTTTTATTTTCTTCAACTTGGTTCCTTTCATGGGTGTGGAAGAGAATGTTACAGATCTTGATGATCGTATCCTTGGAGCAGTGTACAGAATTCTGTTGGTTTTTGCAATTTGTATTTTCTAAGCACTCTTACTTTGTTACAGAAAGTATTTGGTGTTGTGCAACTATTCCCTTTCTGGTATTCTTGTTCTTTCCTTATACTTTGAAGATGCCTTGAACAGTCATGGTATTAGTGGATAATTTATCTGTTTTTCCTCAGAGACAACGTATCTTAGTTTAGTAAATTTAAAGTGCATTATCTAATTTGCATGAAAGTTGTTCTTTGGTTCACATTCATGCATATGTGAGATACAGTATTTGCATTATGATTCTTTCATTAGTAATCTGTGGCTTCCTTGGGATAGACAGTGTAGAATATTTTTATTTTGCCTCTAAATAAATTTCCAAAATCCGCACACATATTATTGCAAGCCACTTTGAGAATTTTCTGTGAGTGGGAGAAGGAGCACTATTAGAGATGTTTTCTTTGTGGCGGGTTTGCCCAGATGGGGCATGAAAAACTGTAGCTTTACAACATCTGAGCATAAGAGAGACAATGCTAGGGTATGTGAAATGATACTGGGTTTTAATTTTACAAAACTGTTTTCTTTTCCTGCATCACAGGTCTCATAGGTTTTTGCGTCAAAAGGAGGCTAGAGGAATATTATCAGGTGTAGGAGCAACACAACAAGATATGTCTTATAATTCTAGTAGCCATTAAAGAGATTGTCAGCCTTGGACAGCCTTGGCTGGAGCAGCAGTTTTGTGTGGGCACTTTTCCTTTAAGAGAACGTGGAAAAAGAAACTATGACTTTTGGTTTTAGTCTTAGTTGCCTTACAAGGAAACACATCTTATTTAGTGTATTATTCTTTAATCTGTAACTTGGCTCATGTTGCAGTCATTCTTCAATAAACTCATAGATGAGGAATGTTATGATATCTTGAAAATGTCGTACCTATTTCTGCATAAACATCACTGCTTTTTTCATATGCAAGTTTGTTTTATAAATAGAAATCCAGGGTCAGTCTTGATAAAATGGCTTTATTCATGTCCATTGTTATTTGATTTATATTGAGTTCTACTTCCTTACTTCTACTTTATTCTTCTGTTCCATCTTTTGCATGATCAGCATTTCCAGAAATGGGTTCTTTAGCATGTGTGGAGTATGCATGCTTGGAAAATTAGAAGCATCCTTACGTGTTTTCCATATTTTTAAACATTTTAAAAACAGAGGGTTTCAGCTGATGTTATGATGTTTGCTATCAAGATGTAGTGTGAACTAATGATGTTATGAAAGATAAGGCTTGTGATTCCTTTGTATTATCTAGTTGCTAAATTGAAAAATCTAACTCTGTGTGTTTGTTTGATCATTTAGCTGAAGGGAACCATAAATTTAATAAATATTATTGGAGATGGATAATTAGCCTCTGTAAAGACTGGGAGAGCAGTTTATTATTCTCTCCCTTTGGAGTAGGAGAGCTGTGTGGGAAGCAGCGAGAGCATCTCTGTTCAAGAGACAGTCTCAGAGCCCTGCTCAAACATTTCTGCCTCGTGGAAAAGCTGCATTGTAGGGGCTGACCATTAAATTAGGCTGTCTGCTGCTCTTTCCTTATTAATTTTTAAGTGAAGTCAGTGTTAGTGAAGTGTGACGGCTTGGCAGCTCTAGAGACTGATCCTGTCTCAGCTGGCAGAACCAGCTCCAGGTCACTACTGGAATTGTTCCATTTGCTAAAGGTTTGTCATATCACCCTTTTTTTTGGATACTGAGGTGGCATAGCAGTGAAAACCATTAGAAGTATACATCAGTGGGAAGCTGACCATTAGAAGTATACACCAGTGGGAAGTTGACTGAGACTAACACAAAATTTCACATCTTACTGAGCAATCTTTTAATGATTGCAGTAATGAGTATTCAGCTGAGTGTGTTTGTGGAAGAGTTGGAAATGTAAAAGGCTTCAGGTTTTATTTCAGTGCTTTTAATTTTCCCATCTTCTGAAAGTAACTTTTTTCCCCATACAAAGCACATATTATAATCTTTGTAATAATAAGCTCTGGAAAGGTTGGAATCAGAAAGACAATTAGTCAAGGTAAGCAATAGTGAATACTATTTTATGTATTATATATTATGTATAATTTATTATATATGTTATAGATCATATATACTATAATGAGGAAAGCAATGTGAATACTATTTGTTTCTCAAGTTCTATAAAAGCAAAAGCATTGTCATTGCTAGTCATACAGGAAATTACTTTTGTCAGTTCTCAGATTTAAAATCAACATAACAGAGTTTGTACCATTTTTTAGTTGCTTTAAACTAGAAATAGTGTGTAATTTTTCTGAATATTTGCATTCTTCAGCAATATGTATGTCGTAATTATCTTCTGCCTTTTTCAGGTAGGGTTGAAATATTTATTAAAGGTATTTTTGTTAGTTCAAATATGAATTTTCAAAGAATTGTAATTAATAGGATTTATTTTGGCAGCAGTGATTTGATAGATTATTTTTAATAAAACTGAAAAAATATATTTTTGTTTCTACTGGTTACACATTAAAAATCTTATTTCTATTAAATGTCAATTGAATAGGAGAAAGTAAAGGGATGCCACCAACTTGAAGACAGTTGGCATTTTTAAATTCCTTGTAATGTGACACATCAAACTTGTGAAGCAAATTATTTACTCATATTTGTGGCAGTGTCATATAGACCAAGGTGTAGCCTTGTGCACAACTATTTTATAGCAGTGTGTGGGACTGAACAGAACCAGATCTTGGCTCAATCTATAATAACATGCAAGAACAGGGAATTCCAGGTCATGAGGAGACTGCCTCTTCAGAAATGAACATTAAAAAAAAGTAAATGGAGAATTTTAAACCAGGTTAAAAAAAAATACTGTTCATGTTTTATAAAACTGTGCATGATTTAACATGGAAAAGATTTGTGACTTATATAAGGGCGACTTTTGAAGTTATCTGAAATGGAAAGCTGAGTAGGTATGGTGCCATTCTCTTGTCTTTTCTGAAGAGAAATGATCAAAAAAAGCCCAGTGCTACAGTACAAATTGTGTGTAGCATACAGTTTAAGATGCGTACCTGTATTTTGTCATTGCTCTTTGTATGTGTTTGTTTACCCCTTGGGATGTTGCACCTCTCTTACTTTGATGCACACCCCAAATGTAAGGCATCTGATCTTTCCTGTTGCTTTAATGGTAATATATACAATGTTTTTCTCCTTTTGAACTTGCTTTCTTCTTCTGTGGTGAAGGTACATAATTAGTTTCTGCAGTAAATTTTTGAAGCTGTTTTATGGGAGCTATTTGGGTAATAGTAAGTTTTACTTGATCTAATTCTGAATTGCAAATATTTTAATATCAGATTTTGATGTAGATTTACTCTTCATGCTCTATTTTGATGTTTAGATAAACTGCAGGAAAGGAAAGGCGAGTGGGTTTAGGATAGACTGAAAGACAGAAAAAAACCCTGAGTTGCACAAGTGGGGATTTTAAAACCATTCTTGGTATTTATCCAAATATAATTTGCATGTTGAAATACTCTGCTTCTGTTGTCAAAAAAAATGTAATTGATAAGTCCAAATTATTGTCAGGGTTATCTTAGCTTTGGACACTCCTGATGCTTCATTACGAACTGTCAGACTCCGTAGACTCTGTAAACTTAATTTAGAGACCAAAATACAGTATGAGTTTACACATTAATACCTCACACTCTTTCAATATAAGTTCAAATTTCATTTTTGGCTC